CGGTTTCCAAACGTCAGCGCGGAAGCGAAAGACCGATATCATCCCGACAACGGCAGCGACAGTCTGGAATCCGACAACGGCAGCACCGACTCCAGCACCACAAACAAAACCGCAACATCTAGCACGCACTCGAGACGACGCGGCTGAACCACGGCAGGCTTCGACCCTGCTCGCGACGAGGTATATCGAGCAGCACCTGCTACGAAGGGGGTGCGAAGATTGGGCCATGCGACAGAGACGCACACAATGGAGATTCGCGGGGGCGGTTGCGTGCGATGACATGGGGGAGTGGAGCCGAAAGGCTTCTTTTTGGGGCCCTACCAACACGAATGCACGTGCAAAGCGATTACAACGGCGACCTCACAAAATCGGTGGTTGGGGGGTGAGACCGAAGTGGAACGGAGAGCCCCCCTACCAGGAAATCGATTTCGGTTTCGTGTTCGTGCGTGCCGTGCGGGCGAGGCGAAGCAGCGTGGGCGGGCGAGGGAAAGTCTCCTGTGGCTGAGGCGCGGCCGGACCAAATGACTCCCTTCCGGGCGGCCGGGGGCCCGCGGTGTCCCGCAGGTGTCCCGCTGGTGTCCCGCGGTGTCCCGCGGTGTCCCGCGGTGTCCCGCGGTGCCCCGCGGTGTCCCGCCGGTGTCCCGCGGTGTCCCGCGATGATGATGATGATGATTATGATTATGATGATGATGATGATGATGATGATGATGATGATGATGATGATGATGATGGTGATGGTGATGCTGATGATAATGATGATGATGATTATGTTGATCATGATGTTGATGACGATGATGATGATGATGGTGATTATGATGATGATGATGATGATGATGATGATGATGATGATGAGGACGATGATGATGATGATGATGATGATGATGATGATATGATGATGATGGTGTCCCGATGATGATGATGATGATGATGATGGTGATGATGATGATGTCGATGATGATGATGATGACGATGATGATGATGATGATGACGATGATGCTGATGGTGTGCCGATGATAAGGATGATGATGCTCATGATGATTATGTTGATGATCATGATGATGAATATGATGGTGTCTCGATGATGATGAGTATCATGATGTTGATGTTGATGATGCTGATTATGATTGTGTCCCGATGATGATGATGAGGTTGATGATGATTATGGCGTCCCGATGATGATGATGATTTTTCTGATGATGATGATGTTGATGATGATGGCGTCCCGATGGTGGTGATGATGATGATGATGATGTTGATGCTGATGTTGGTAATGATGATGATGGTGCCCCGATGATGACGATGATGATGATGCTGATGATGATGTCGATGATGCTGATGATGATGATGATGATGATATCGATGATGAGGATGAGATGATGATGATGGTGTCCCGATGATGATGATGATGATGATGATGATGATGATGATGATGATGACGATGATAGCGATGGTGATCATGATGGTGTCCCGATGATGATGCTGCTGCTGATGATGATGATGACGATGACTGTGTCCCGATGCTGCTGATGATGATGATGTTGATGATGATGATTGTGATGATGGTGATGATGATGGCGATGATGATGATGATGATGATGATGGTGGTGTCCCGATGATGTTGATGACCGTGATGATGATGATGTTGGTGTTGATGATGAGGACGGTGTCCCCATTATGATGATGTTGGTGATGATGATGTTGATGTTGATGTTGTTGTGGATGATGATGATGACGTTGATTGTGATAGCGGTTGTGATATCGATAGTGAGATCGATAGTGAGACCGAATGTGATATCGATTGTGAGATCGATTGTGAGACCGATAGTCAGATCAATTGTGAGATAGATCGAGTGAGATCGATTGTGAGATCGATCGAGGGAGATCGATCGAGCGAGACCGATACTGAGCTCGAGAGTGAGATCGATAGTGAGACCGATCGAGTGAGACGTTGGTTCTTCCCCCCCCGAACCTCCTTATCACCCGAAGGGTGGTCGTATAGGTATGGATTGATTATGTGGCAGAGCTCATTCGCACTACGCGTCGGGGGTATAGGCAAATAACTGCGTCGGACAGCGACTTGTGTTCACAATCGGAGGATGGTTATGTGCACCGCACAAGCAGAAACAGGTCTACCCTCGACTGAACGAGCGGCGCCCCGGCGCCCACTCCCAGCCCCGCGCGCGGCCGCCCTCACGGGCGAACTTGGAGTCGCCCCGCCTCGCCTCGCCTCCCTCTTGGGCCACGAAACGCTGTGCTCGGTGGGGAAAACGCATGCGAACTGCGCCCCTGGGACCGTCGGTGGGGTCCCCTATGGGGCCGCGTGCACAGGGTGGGGGAATCGCGCGCGGACTGCGCCAGTGGGACCTCTGGTGGAGCTCCTTATGAGCCCACGCAGCGTTGTACTGGGTGGGAGAACCGCATGCGGACTGCGCCCCTGGGACCTTCGGTGGATTTCCCTCTGGGGCCACGAAACGTTGTACTGGGTTGGGGAACCGCATGAAGACTGCGCCACTGGAACCTTCGGTGGTCCTCCCAGCCTCCCTCTGGGGCCACGAAGCGTTGTGCTGGGTGGGAGAAGCGCATGCAGACTGCGTCACTGGGACAGATCTACGGTGGAACTCCTTCTGGGGCCACGGAGCGCTGTACTCGGCGGGGGAACTGCATGCGGACTGTGCCGCTGGGACCTTCGGTCGAGCTCCTCTGGGGCCGCGAAACGTTGTACTGGCCAGGGAACCGCCTGCGGACTGCGCCATTGGAACCTTCGCTGGGGCTCCCTATGGGGCCACGAAGCGCTTCACTGGGCGGGGTGACCGCATGCGGACTGCGCCACTGGGACACCTTCGGTGGGGCTCACTAGAGGGCCACGAATAGCTGTCAGGCTGTACTGGGTGGGGGGACCGCATGCGGACTGTACCATTGGGAACTTCGGTGGATCTCCCGATGGGGCCATGAAACGTTCTACTGGGCGAGGGAACTGCATGCAGACTGCGCCACTTGGACCTTCGGTGGAGTTCCCTATGGGGCCACGAAGCGTTGTAGTGGGTGGGGGGAGCCGCATGCGGACTGTGCCGGCGGCGCCGACGGCGGCGATGGCGACGGCGGCGGCGAAGACGACGACGGCCATGACGGCTGCGACGGGGCTCCTCGTCCCTGGACTCTCGTGCTGGGCTCCGATGAAAAGAGCGAAAACTCTGGATGGTCGGTTTACCTAGCAGTTTGTTGTACATATTTTTTCGTTGCCGCATATCGTCGCTATTCCGATTGTATCGAGAGGCTTGTGTTTTTTTGTTCGTTACTGAAGCTGTTTCTTCGGTGTACGAAAACCGTTTTTGTCGGTTCAACAAACCACTTCGTGGTTTCAGTAAACTCCGCGGGCCGCTTTGGCAAAAAGGCCCCAGGGCGCGGGGCGGGCCCGGACTGGAGGTGGTGGGTTTGTGTTGCACCGGTCGGGGGGTCGGGCCGCGCACACGACGATGAGTCGGGTCGCGGCGGTGCAGGCGGCCCGCATTAGTGGGTCGACCCTGCCAGATCAAGGGTATCCTTTGAGTCCTTCGTCTCGCGACCTATGCCTCGTACATTCCTGTGGCGATGTGGCCCTCGAAAGGGTCTTGTGTCCTCTCGCGTGTCCTCTCCAATCAAGCCCGACTGTACTTGCAAGTGCTTGCCGCGAAATGTCGCCATTCTTTGGAGGGGGGGGAAGCGGGCACTAGTGCGGGAAAAATGGCTCAGCAGTCGGGACGAGTCGCAGCGGTCTTTCCGCGCATCGGGGCAACCGCTTGGTACGCACACCGTCAACATGGGAGTGCGCCCCTGACGTTACGTTGGGCCTGTCCCTCTACAGGAGGAATATTCAAAAATTATAAAAATGTAATCTAGGGATGATTGTTTGACCATTTTGGAATATTATGGGGGCATGCTTGTTTATTTTTTGTTTGTTGTCCACAATCCCCGTGTGGGGGGGACAGGCCCGACCTAACCCTCACGCCTCCACCTCGGACCTCGGGCATCGTCTGAGGATTGGGGAGGGGCGACTGAGATCTTCGCCGTCGGCGCACGCGTCGGCCTGCAGGCATCGGGCGCCCTGCCAGGGAGGGGGGGGGCAGGAGGAGGAGGAACATCATCCGCGGCTTCGCTGTCGGCGTCAGCTCGCGAGGAAGCGCTGCGTCGCCAAAACCGCGGGCACCCTTCAAGCAGCGGGGGATTAGGAGGGAGGAGGAGGAGGAGGAGGAGGAGGAGGAGGACATGGACGAGTATCGAAGTGCTTTCACGCGTCGGCGTCGGCTCGCTGGGAAGCGCTGGGTCGTGAAGTCTCCATGCGCCCCTCGAGGACGCAAGAGGACGGAGGAGGAGGAGGAGGAGGAGAAAGAGTAGGAAGAGGAGGAAAAGGAGGAGGAGGAGGAGGAGGAGGGGAAGAAACATGCGCCCCTCGAGGACGGAGGGGGGGAGGAGGAGAAAAAAGAGGAGGAGAAAGAGGAGGGGGAGGAGGAGGTGGAGGAGGGGGAGAAACATGAGGAAGAAGGAGGGTCATCAGAATTCTCGATGGCGGCTCGCGGGGGAGCTCTGGGCCCTGAATGCCTCAGGCGCCGCCCGATGATGAGGAGGATGAAGTGCAGGTCGATGTTATTTGGACGCGTTTGGCGTTTTGTTTCGAGAGCCAGAGCCTGGCTCAAGTTGGCTCCAACGCCTGCAGGCATGCCCAGATGGGCTCCAGAGCAACGCCTTGCGAGGCACATGATGCCCCAGGGGTGCTGGAATAGTGGGGACACGCTGTGTTTGCACTCCGGGCCAGGGTCAAACCTTGGCGACGTCCGAAGAATATTTGGGCCGTGTCGTTGTCAGCAGCGTGATCGTTGTCGGCGGCGTCGTCGGCGGCGTCAACGGTGTCGTCGGCGACAACGTCGGCGGCGGCGTCGGTATCAGCGGCATCGTCGACGGCGTCGTCAGCGGTGACGTCGGCCTCGGCGTCGTCACCGTCGGCGGGGGCGCATCCCCGCGACCAGGCGGCAAGGCCACCTACCTGCACAGGGAGCCAAGCCGCTATGACAGCTCGACCAACGCGGCGGCCCGTGCATCTTCCGTCGTTGTCGTTTCGTCCTCCGTTTCCTCCATTTCCCCCCCTTCTTCATAGCTTCCATTTGGGCCTAAGAGATGGTCAGTGCAACACGAACCGCCAACACGCCATACCACAGGTTGTGTTTGAGAGGATCGGACGGAAGGCCCGCATGGCGGCGACGGCATGGACGGCCTCTCTTACGTTGCGTCTGTTCAACCCCATGTCCGCCAGACCCGATAGGATGGCTGAAATATACAAGGTGCGCACACTTTTCACGCAGCCATCATGAGTGGAACCGCGAGGTGGAGGAGAGAGGCCACCGTGACACAAGGCAGCGTAGAAGACGCGAGGTTATAGACGCAGACTGGAGGACAGCAGAGTTGACAAACAGAAGCACGGGCATCGCGATAGCCGTGCAAGGACTATTCACAGCAACCCAAATCATCAGCGTGACAGAGCCACCCCCAGGACTATGTGGGCGTGGGCCCGCTTTCACAGTACAGCATCACGGTCTACTCATCACAATGATAGGATTGCGTTGCCCGCCACGGCCTAACACAGGCAACACCCGAAACCAGTAGTACGCGACGACTTCTCGCCTGCCCGAGTGGATGGAGGAGACAGCGAGGGACAGGCCCAGACCCACCGTATTGATCGCTGCAGCGGACCCCAGCGGTCAGCAGCAGGACAACAAGCATAATGACCAGAGCACTTGTGTCAGGACGAGCGCGAGAAAAACGCCAGGAGGAATAGGGCTCAGGGCCTGACTATTCTCGGAGACGCACGGCCTGGTTCGACGAAATACGATGCGCAACTGGAGACCTTCGTATTTGGGCGAGGAAAGCGCGAGCTGCCTCGTCTACACTACTGCACCGCCGGAGTTAACGGACAGCATGGTTTTCCAAGGCCCACAACTGCGCATGGGCACGCGCTTACAATATACCCCATGCCGGAAACACAGAGACCACGTACCAGTTCGAGTTACGCTACGGCTACCACTGAGGCAACGAATTCGGCAATTACAGAAGATAACAGCATGGGGCGAATGGACTTGTATGAGCAATCAGACAAGAGCTCATCCGCGACCTCGAACTGAACAAGGAGCGGCATGAACCAGAAGGAACAGGACCAGACGCACTCTTCCATGACATCAACCAGATGATCATCAACTTGGCCCCGAAGTACTACGCACTCCGACCGGCCACTAACTACGAGGGACTGAAACGCCGACGCATGGACCTACTAAGGCGGAAACGAGAGGGACAAGCAGAAATACGACAGCGTGGACCAACCGTCGCGATCAAGATCTGCGAAGACAACCCAGACAAGGCCATGGTGGAGTATGTCACGAAAACTTCCAGAGTGGCTAACCGCTGGAAATTCGCCGGCCCAACGGGCCAGGGCGTGCTAAGATCTCCGGTACCTGGTTAACAGTATTTCTAGATATCGCGCGCGCGGGGCGGCCCCTGGGGGTCCCCGGGCGAAAAGTACCCCGGCAAGGTCCCGGCAAGTCCCCGGCAAGTCCCCGGCAAGGTCGGGTCAGAGATGCTGGAGTTTGGTTTCGGAGTCCAAGAGGGCTCCAGATCGGTCCAAGAGGGCCCCGAGAAGCTTTCTAGACGGTCCAAGAGAGGCCCGAGACGGCCAAAGATCGCCCGAAGACGCCCCAGATGGCCCAAAGACAGCCCAAGAGGCCTCCAAGACGCTCCAAGGGCCTTCCAAGAGGCCTCCGAAGAGGGCCCCAAGTTGCCAAAATCGTTGATTTTCATTTGTTTGTTCGATGTTTTTTTGTGCGTTCTGGCCTTTTCGCTTCCGTTCGCTCCAAGAGGGCCCAAGAGGCCTTCAAGACTGCTCCAAGACGGCCCACGAGGCTCCCAAGACGGCCCCGGAGCGGCCCAAGAGCGCCCCCCAGACGGCCCAAGTGCTGCCCAAGGCGGACCAAGAGGCCCCAAGACGGGCCCAAGAGGGGCTCAAGAAGGGAACCGAGAATTGAAAAATCGAACCCTCCGCCCCAGAAGGCGCCCAGGACCCCGAAAGAGGCCCCAAGAGACTCTCCAAGACACCCCCAAGACGCCCCAATAAGCTCCCCTGAGGCCCCAAGAGGACCAACAACGTCAGGCCCCAGGCCCCAAGAGGACCAACAAATACCGCCAAGAGCCCGCCGAAAGCCCCCCAAGAGACCGTCACGAGAGCTCAGAAGCCCCCTGGAGGCCTCCCGAGTTCTCCAAGAGGCTTAAAAAGAGGCGCCAAGAGGCCCCAAACGGCCCCACCGAGGCTCCAAGAGGCCACGAACGCACAAGCAAACGCCTGCGATGGCACAATACGGGCCGGCGGAATGAGCGAAGCGATTAAATAACCAACCTCGCCGCCACACCCCCCCAGGACCTGGACGGAGCATGGCCAGGGCCCGCCACCGAGAACGTCCCGGCGGGAGCGCAGCTTGGCCCCGAGGGCCCGAGGGACAGCGAAGGCAATGACCCTTACGCCGAAGAGGAGGAACAAAAACATAGACCGAGCCCAGCGAGACAGAGAGCGCACCCAAAGAGATAGAGCAGGAGCTCAAGCAAACCACTAAGCTGTGCACTGAGCTGCGGAAGCAAGAAGTCCGGCAGAGCAGCGTCGCCGAGGTCGTGAAGGTGCACGAGGCATGCGAGTGGAGAGAGCAGCAAGGGTTGGACAACTTCCACGTCTCATTGCAGCAGGACGCTATTGAAAACGACAACGACATTACTGGACGGCGATCACCGCAGAAAACGTCCAAGCAGGAGTGGATCAATGTCTAGAAGGTACCAGGGCGCGAAGGTGGAATGAAAAGGCACGGACCATAACGAGGAGGAGCCGGAGCAGCTTCCACGAGCGGCGAAAGAAATATTATTATTTGGATGACCAAGCGGAGCTGGTAGAGGCAGACAAAGCGGAGATCGCCATGAGCTTGAAGAAGGCCAGAGTACGCAGGGTGGCTCCGCAGTTGGCAGCAGCTCCGGACTTCTGTCTGCAATTTTTATGCCACCCACTTGACCCGCTGCACCAGCGGCGACATTGGCCCGGAGCGGAACGAGAAGCAACACAAGCTGAAGACTGCGAGGCTCTTTCCAGAGCCGCCAGGCAGCGATGGGAATAGATGACGTGACGCCAGTGAGATGGCATCAAGGCGCAGCGACAGCAGTGCGTAAGAACGCGAAGATAGGCTCCGCCAGCAAGAGAAACAATCACCTCATGGGCCCGACCAGCACGGCGCACTATCCGGCAGGTTTGAGACGAAACAACGGCAAGGCGCACAGCGACCAGGATTACGGCTCAATGGGAGGACCACGGCGAGAGGGAGTTTCACTGGCGATGGCAGCGGTGGAAGGGGCGAGGCAGGCTGGCGGGAACTACGCGTCGGCGCCGAAGGACATATCCAATGCTTTCGCGAGCTGCTCGCGGCTGACCGTGGACGCGGCCGGCAGCGAGATCTTGCCAGGAGATCAATGGTACCTGGGAGGGCATCGGCATCGCCGAGCCACGTTGACCCACAAGGGGGCGCGCATCAAATTATATTGCGGAGGAGTCATCGGCGACCTGCGCGAGGCCCGCAACTTCGCGGCGAGTTCCAGCCCTGCATCCAGGGACGGTTGCAAGAGGGGTTTCGAGACGGACAGCTTCCTGCGCGGATAGGGCGAATTATTCCGGCACCCGGTCCACTTCGACCTCGCCAAGTACGCAGGCGACTTCGGGTGGCTGCCCACGGGGGGCTGCGACGCGAACGCGCGCGAGCTGGCGGACATGGCGCGAGAGCTCAATGCGAAGCTGGATGATATAGGACTGCGACAGAACCAGCACAATAAAGATAACATGGCCCACTTCCAGGGCAACGCCACCGCCAGGGCGCGCCGCGACCTGGAGGAGAACCCCAGCAACAGGGTGACAGGCAAAGCATGCGAAGCGGCGCGCGACCCAGGCCCCCAGATTGCAGCGACGCAGAGTTACACCGTGGAACTCCAGAAACGCGCCCTGGCGGTGATGCAAAGCCACCACGAATGTGGAGGCTTCTGGGCGAAGGCCAGCATCCCGCGCAGGTGGGGGCGCGCTGTTCTGACCTGCGGAATCATCAAAGCGGGCCTTTCGCGCGTCGGGCGCTCTCTCCCGGCGCCGGGCGAGCGCCTGCGGCAGCGGGGCGCGATGGGCGCGCTCCTCCGACGCGCTATGAGAGGAGGCGCAACTACTCACCGTCAAGATGGTGCATCGCGAGGGGCATGGCTGCCTTGGAGGTCTTTCGCCACTGGCAAATCTCGCCACCAGCGGGAGAATCGATGGCCCGCCGTGTCGGCGGGGGGGGGATTTCGCTGATATTCCCGAATGCCCGCCGCCCACCGATCGCAGCGATGTTCGGCCGAATCGAGTTCGAGAGAAGGGGCGGCGACAACGCGCCCGACGAGCTCAAGAGCGACGCGAACCCTTGGGCCCAAAGATTCACGAAGGACATCGAGCGCGCCTGCGAATTTTCGGGGGGCCCCCGCGCGACGCTCGGCAACGAGATCTCGGGCCGCAAATTTGGAGCCCATTGGGCGTCCGAGAAGGATGACCATGCTAACGGCGGCAGCCCCCTCGCCCAGCGCAGGACAAAGTGACGAACTTCGAGAGGTGCTGGCCCAGCAGGAACTGCTGCGATGGTCGGTGCAGGCCCAGCGCGGAGGAGGAGGAGCGCGGGCTATCATTTGCAAGCAGAACAGCACTGCATCGCGACAGTTGCAGCATAAGTCTCCAAAGCGAGCACGTAAGTTGTTGGCAAGCAATTACGGGTAAAAGCACAGCGCGGAAGCATTCGGCGAGAAGCGCGGCGCAAGGATGTCGCAACCAGGACAAAGCGAGAAGCCCGTGCAAGCGAGAACTCCACAGTCCGAGATGCCCAATCTGTAGTCGCCAGGCAGCGCGAGTTGAGCGCTCGCGCGCGCAATGGCCGAAACAGCCACCGCAATCGCAAGAGCTCGATGGCGCCGTTCGGTGAGAGCGAGGCGCGGCGGCGCTAGCGGCGGGGCCAGCGCGCCAAGACCCACGTAGACGGGGGCGACGAGCGCCCGCGAGACAGGCTGGACGCGGGGCGGCAGCGCTGGCCAGGGGGCAGGCGGAGCTGGCCTCGGCGGCGCTACAGGCGCGGGGGACCCCGGCAGCCGCAGACACTGCCACGGCGGCGTTCGACAACGGCGAGGGCCGCAACGACGCGGCGCAGGACTTGCGCCGAGGGGCAGCTCCAGGAGAGCAGGTCAACGCGGCATCCCTCGGCAGCCCGCGCGCGAAAATCTGAGCGGGCGCCGCGATCTTTCCGGGGCGTTACCTAGAGGACGGGGCGGCGAAGCAGTCCATCGAGCAGTGCGAGCAGGAGACGACCGTCAACGGCAGCGCGGAGCGGTCGGCAGACTCCGCCCCCGTCTTCGCGGCGAGGCGCAACGAGGGCAAGGCGGGAGGGGCAGCGGAGAAATGAAGACGCCAGTTCCGAATGAACCATGCGAACCACCAGCTCGAGACCATCGCAATGAACCAGCTGGGGGAAGAAGCGCGCCGCGCGCAGAATGGGAGAGGCGCCGCTGGGGGCGCTGGAGAGGGAACTGGGCAGGCCGATCAACGGACGAGGGTTCGAGAAGACCGGGGTGAGGCCGCAGAGGCCGCTGAGAATCGCGCGCAGTTCCGCTCCGTTCCGCAAGCCCCCCCGCCGCGCTGCGCCGAGAGTTTTCGACGCGAGCGCTCGCTTGTGCGAGCTAGTGCAGAATGGTCGACCCCCCTCCTCCTCAGCAGGGTGCCCGAAAGATTTGTCAGATCCACGGTCAGAATTCCCCGGATTATTTCACGATGTGCCGACCTCCCCCCCCGAACCGAAACGAACGGGAATGGGGGGAGGAAAGACAGGGGCGGGTAGAGGCAGGCGAGAGGGCATCCGTAAACGCGTGTGCCACACTGCCCGAGGACCCCTGCAGTGGGAGGTCGGCGCAGATTGGGCCAGAGCGCCACATGGCGGCAGCGACCCCCTTTCCATGAAGTGAACACAGCTAGGCCATAGCAGATTTGTGCATGCAGCTCAGCCCTAGTCGAGGGGGGGGGCAGCACCGAACTGGCCCGAGAGCTCGATCGATCGATCGATTCCGTTCTTCAGCCTCGTCTTCTTCCTCCTCATCCCCAGTCCTCCCCGTTTCCGTCCTTCTTCTCCTCATCCTCCTGCCCTTCTCCTTCTCTTTCACCTCCTCCGCCTTCCCGTTTTCTTCTTCCTCCTCCTCCGCCTCCTCCTCCTCCTATTTTCCCTTTATGTATGTATCCTCCTATTCCCCCTCTTCCTCCTCCTCCTCCTCCTCCTCCTCCTCGTCCTCCTGTTCCTCCTCCTCATGCCCCCATCGAACTTAGATGCGAATTTCTACGAGCCAGGTGGACGCCGACACTACGCTCTAGGGACCCCGCCCCTCCCCGCGCTGACCGTCAAAGGCCCCGCCCTCACGGGCCTGCACGCGTCGTTTCGTTTCGCTTCGTTTCCTGCCCCTTTTCTTCGTCCTCTCCACGTTGATCCTCTCGGATATCGACGCCGGATCACGTACACTTTGCCTTACGTCATCCCCAGCCCAAGCCTCCACGCGCCGACCTCGACCACAGTGAATGAGGGTTCGTGCCCACCCGCGCCAGCCTTCTGGGCACCGCCCCTCTGCAGACACCTGCGCGTCTGGCTGTCTGTCCTCCTCGTCCTCTCCTCGCTCCTCGTCTCCCCCTCCGTCCGCTCCGCGAAGGCGGGCATGCTCAAGAACGGGCAGCTGCTCGTCGGAGAGTTCGCCTGGGCTGGCGGCCAAAGCGGCGACGGGGCGGGCCGACGTCTCCGCGCCGTGTTTGGCTCTGCGGCCCGTCGCCTCGATGCGACTCGAAGAACTGGACCCGAAGAACAAGCAGATGTTTAAACGTGAACTTTCGGAGGTTCGAGCGGATCTCTTGGATCGGCGCTTGGCACCCGTGGTAAGGAAGGACCACAGGAGAGCCCCACAGGGAAAACGGGGGGGGGCCGAGACCGCCCAGTCAGCAAGCGATCCGGCAGCCATTTCGCTTCAGATTTCCTGGCGATGTATTCAGGAATATCGTTTTCGCCTCAAATTTGGCTCCGTGTTTACAAGGAATCTCGCTTTCGCTGCTCGCTTTCGCCTCAAGACGGCGGACATGGCCGCGCTTTGCTGCGATTGGGGTGTTCTGTTGGGGTAATTGGTTTCTGCTCTCTATGGAAAGATCCTGCACGAAGATTGGGAAAGAAGGATCCGGCCGCGACTTCTTCACGGCGGCGGCCCTCCTCACGGCGTGGCGTCCATCAGTTTCCTCCGTCCCCTCCAGATCCCTTTTTCTCGCCCCAAAACACTTCTTCTCGTCCGCTCTCGGGGGGCTGGAGGAGGAGAGCGTGGCATCGTTCGGACGTGTCCATGTTTTCTGGCGTGACCAGAGCCAGAAAATCTGTATATATTGAAGCATTTTGGGATATAAGGGAAATTCACAAAAGAACAACAACACATGCACGGGGAAATGGACGTTCGAGTGATTGCAAGTTCTCCTCCGCGCCCTCGGGCTGGAGGGGGAGATGAGAGGAGTGGAGGACGGAGGAGCTGGAGTAGGCGAAGGAGGACGAAGATAAGAAGGAGAAAGAGGATGGGGAGAAGGATGATGAGGCGGAGGAGGAGGAGGAGGTCAAGTTGGCCAGGTCGAACGGGCCGGCGGCCCCGGCATCGTTCCACACTCTCTCCCATGGCGTACATGAGAGTCAATGGTGGCACAACGTGCTGTCCAGGACCCGAACGTGCTCCCACCTAGCGAACGGGAGGCTCTCGCGCGCGGTCCGGCTTCCGACGACCTGGCGAGGGAGAACATTCCGGGCCGCGCACGGGCGGGTGGGAGCGGCATGTCAGAACGTCTCTGCGCGGCGCGGCGGCGAGGGCACACGGCGTTCAGTCCCCTTCTCGCGGGCAGCCGACCGTCTGAGGACCGCGGCGAAGAGGGACGGAGCGTGCGCCGCGCCGAAACAGCGCCGGAGTGTTTCCCGAGCAAGCGGGGTCGGCGCTCTTAGGGGGCCACCTGCGAACCCTACCCCTACCCCCCACGATCGAAGTGAACCCCACCCTCCCCCTCAGAAATCGTGTGGGGTAGGGGTAGGGTTCGCAGGTGGCCCCCTAGCTCTGGCGCGCGTCGCGTTGCTCAGAGGCACGGCGCGTCGCCCGCGCTCGCGCGGCCCCGCTGGCGGCTCCCGCCGGCGTGCGACCCGGCGGGCGAGGCGTGCGCGGCGCCCGCGTGAGAGCGCGCCACTTCCGCGAAGGAGGTGCGTTTTTGAGGGGAGCGTACTGAGGGGAGCGCCGTCGCCTTGATGGATCGTCTCGCGTTGAGTTGTCTTCAGCCGTATAGGTGGCAGAGTAGGCGCATATATTGATAAGGATGAAGGACGCCGAGGGGGAGGAGGAGGACGACAAGGGGGATCACGACGACGAGGAGGACGAGGACGAGCGGGAGGGTTCCGTGGTTTCACCCCGCCTGGCCAGGTTCATGCACGTCCGACGTGCTTCCAGGGAGACCGGCTTCATCAAGGCCAGGCGGCCTTGCCGTTGGGAGTGGAGGACGATCGAGGTTCGAGGATCGATTTGTTTTCGGCAACGTCTCGTACTTTTCGGAGCCTCCGCGGAGCTCGACGTGGCCACGGCCGGATTCCCTTCGAGATTCTTCCCAGCACGCACCGCAGGAACTGTTCAGGACTAGTAATTCGTCCTCGCTGGTTGGTTTGACCACCGCACGGCCTGCCTTCTGCAACCGTCTGGGTCGGTGCTTGCATCCGCGCCCGCGCGGGGCCGCGCGCGCGCGGGTGCGATTCTTGGGCCGCCTTCCGCTGAGGGGTGCTCCCCCGACGCGGAAGTGGTCCGCGCCCCCCCCTTCGGAGGCGTGCCTTCCTGACGAGGGGGAGGAGCCGCCTGCCCGCCAGTTCCTCCTCCTCCTCCTCCTCCTCCTCCTCCTCCTCCTCCTCGCTCGCTCTCGGCCGAAATGTCGTGCAGACGCGGCCACCTTGCCTCCTCCTCCTCCTCCTCCTCCTCCTCCTCCTCCTTCCTCCTCCTCCTCCTCCTCCTCCTCCTCCTCCCCCTCCTCCCTCCTCCTCCTCCTCCTCCTCCTCCTCCTCCTCCTCCTCCTCCTCATCTGCGGGAGGAGGCTTGGGGGCTGGCAGGCGCAGCCCTCTGCACGTCCTTGGGAAGGGCGTTTCGCCACGGCCCGCCGCAGGGCGTTTCGCTGCGCGGGCGGGGTGCGGGCCATGCGGAGCCGGAACCGCAGCCACGGGGCAGGCGGCGGACGCCGAGGAGGCGGGAGCAGGAATAGTTGCGACCCCCCCCCCGCGAAGCCGAGGAGGCTCGCGAGGCCGTGGAGGGTCTCGAGGCGATGCCGCCGCGGGAGGAGGCTCCAGGGGGCGTTCGGCGTCGAGGTCAGCGGCCAGAGTCAAGCTTGACGGTGTCAAGAAGTTCGCACGCACAGCGGGAGAAGCAGCCGTCTCGGTGGCACGATGGCTGCTCCCCAAAGATCTTCGAGCGCGCCCCGCAGAACAACAGGCCCATTATAGTCGAGGCGCCCTGCGAGAGTGGCCTCTCGAGGTGAGAGATCCTCAAAGCCGCTCAGCGCTGAGAGGATCGACGGCAAGCGGAATGACCAGTCCTCCCACGTTATGAGGGCGAGTGGCTCGGTTCAGTGCGCGAAGACGACCTGCAGTTTCTGAAGCAGGCGTGCCAGCGGCCAGGCAAGGGCGAGCAGCATCCGCCCATCCGCGTCTGCATTGAGGGTCCATCTGACGACGGCTTGCCCGTTGGACCATGCGCCCGGCCTGCTCAACGGGGCAATCCTGCGCGTGCCGAGGTGGCGGTGCGTCAAGCTGCCGTACATGTCGTACACGGACGCCGAAGACGCGGCCGCTGGGGCACAGGTCGAAGACGTGCCGATCGAGGAGGCGAAGCGCGCCCGCGCCCCTGGCCAGGTGGAGCCGCGCTCCTGCTTGTGGTGGCTCGAGGGCTGCGCCCCCCTCCTGCAGGGGGGGAGGGCCCTTCGGGCGAGCCTCGAGTCGAGGCACGTCGGCGTACAGCCGGACCGAGGTCTGAGATCGAGCCCCCTCCTGCAGGGGGGGAGGGCCCTTCAGGCGAGCCTCGAGTCGAGGCACGTCGGCTTACAGCCAGACCGAGGTCTGAGATCGAGCCCCCTCCTGCAGGGGGGGAGGGCCCTTCCGGCGAGCCTCGAGTCGAGACGCGTCGGCTTACAGCCGGACCGAGGTCCGAGATCGAGGCCGGTGCAGGGCGCGGAGGGTGCAGGCCTCCGACGCCTCCGGCAAGCAGCGAGGCCGCGGTCTTCGGCGGGCGTTCGCCCCCTTGGCTCGGCCTCAGCGCCCTGGCCGGGAGGTGCCGCACTGTGAGTGCTATGCGCGTATTGTTTGTTGTTGTTGTTTCCTTCCTCCTCCTCCTCCTCCTCCTCCTCCTCCTCCTCCTCCTCCTCCTCCTCCTCCTCCTCCTCCTCCTCCTCCTCCTCCTCCTCCTCCTCCTCCTCCACCTCCTCCTCCTCCACCTCCTCCTCCTCCTCCTCCTCCTCCTCCTCCTCCTCCTCCTCTCCTCCTCCTCCTCCTCCTCCTCCTCCTCCTCCTCTCCTCCTCCTCCCTCCTCCCACCTCCCTCCTCCCCTCCCTCCTCTCTCCTCCCTCCTCCCTCCTCCCCCTCCTCCCTCCTCCTCTCCTCCTCCTCCTCCTCCTCCTCCTCCTCCTCCTCCTCCTCCTCCTCCTCCTCCTCCTCCTCCTCCTCCTCCTCCTCCTCCTCCTCCTCCTCCTCCTCCTCCTCCTCCTCCTCCCCCTCCTCCCCCTCCCCCTCCCCTCCCCCTCCCCCTCCCCCTCCCCCTCCCCCTCCTCCTCCTCCCTCTCCTCCTCCTGCTTCTCCTCCTCCTCCTCCTCGTCCTCCTCCTCTTCCTCCCCCGGTTGCCTCGTTTAGCAGGCGCACTTTTGTGTGTGGACGCTTGAAGTTAGGCCTTTCCCGCCTACGCGCCGGTCGGCATGTGGCTTCGAATTATCAGGGCGGGGGGCAGTCAGGGGTAGCTGCAGATTCGGGCCTCGAGGGCCCAAACTGGAGTGAATCCGTACCGCAGCTCTCCCGAACCATTTGGGCGTCCAACCATCCCGTCGTCGGGGCTCGGGGCGGTCAGGGGCAGGTGCGGCTTCGCGCCGCGGGGGCCCCAACCAGAGCTGCCCTGGACCACGGTTATGCTTATAGTCATTCGGGTGCTCCATCTTTCGCCCTCGCCATCGTCTCCCTCCCTTCCTCGAATAGCACCCATGAGGGGAAGCGGATTCCAAAGTGAGTGCTGCTGGGGAAACGTTTCAACGCTAGACGCCTTCGTTTCATTTTCGGCGGGCTGGTGGATCCAGGGCATGCGGTTTCCAGTCAAGCGGTTGCGTGATGGTGGAGCGATGCGCGAGGTGGGGAAGAACAAAAAAAAAATCCCTGGACCCCCTCGCGCCGTCGAGCAAAATCACGACAGGTGATGCTGCGCCCGTCCAGGGACGACAGGAAGGATGAGAGGCCGGTCCCCAGGAAGGGCTCCGGAGCTTTGGGGGTCCACGCCATGAGAAAAGATACGACGTCGGGGGTCGTGGTTCCTCTGTCGGCACGCAGTCGAACGCGACCTGGGGGGGACGCCTCGGGGCTCTCGCCGGGCGAGGCCCGTATATCAACCGGGAGCTCGGCCGTGGAGTTTGGGCGGCTCGTGGCGCGCAGGAGAGGGCTTGGGCAGGGGAGGGTTCGACCTCCCAAACTTCGACGTATGCGCGCCATTCGTGGGCCTCCGTGAGGCTCGTCGTCCAGTCAAGTTTTCCAGATGTCGTAATAAAAGGGAGGGGGTCTGGACCCTCCAAGACGAGCCATTTCAGACCTCCCCCGTGGGAGAACCCTCCAAAACATCGTCCCCAGACCCCCCAGGCCCTCCAAGATAGCCTGGAAGAGACCCCCACCCCGAAATGAGACCCCCCTCCCTTTATCACAAAATCTGGAGTACGCTTTTTTCAAGAGTAACCTTTCGCCAGAGTGACCGCTGGTGCGGCCTCACAGGGGTCGAGCAGGGGATCGACTGCAGAGCTGGGTCACACCAAAATGGATGGTCCCGCCGAACTCGCGAAACGAATGCGTAGACTGCTCCGCAGATGCGCAGGCATTCTGCGCTTTTGCTTGCCGTTCCGACGCTCGACCCAGTTTTGGGGCAACTCAGTTCTGTGGTCGACCCCTCACTCGAAAGGGGGGTCCCCAAGCACTGGCCTGCGCGCGGCAGCAGCCGACCGACTGGGCGGCGCAGCCCAGGGTTTCCTTCAAGTCGGGCATGTCCCCCTACAGGGGGAATATTCAAAAATAGTAAAAACATCGTCTGGGGACTATTTTTCAAATATTTTTGAGGTCATTTTGTTTTGAACATGTTTTGAGTATTTTTTATTTTTCGTCGAAAATCCCCCTGTAGGGGGACACGCCCGACTTAAGGTTTCCTTCTGAGCCCGTTCGGCGTCTGAGGTCTGAGTCCAGTCGACCGCCGCATGGGCAGTGGAAACGGGCTCATGCTCCGACAGGGTCGTGAGCATGGAGCACCCTCGGCCGCCGAACGGGCCCGATCTCAAGTCCGCTCGGCGGCCGAGTGGATTCAGAAAGGGAACCTCTGAGATCCGACGTTGCAAAAAAACTGCAGCGTCGCGAAAGAGCGCACGACCAGAGCCCTGCATGTTTCGAGCCGGATCGATCTGCGATGGTCCCAAGCTTAGTGGGCCATGGCCCAGTTTTAGCCGGTTCCGTCTTGCAGCTCTTGTTGCTGGTTCCGGCGCCGTCTGTCCAGGCCTCCTAGATGAGGTCGGAGTAGATGGGGTCGAAGGATCGTGCCGCATCGCCGATGCATCGGCGATGCGGCTCGATGCGGAGCCTGACGTTCGCCACACCGACAGCGCCAATGCATCGCCGACATCACCGGTGCATCGCCGATGCATCGCCCATGCATCGCCGATGCATCGGCGAGGCGGCGCGATCCTTCGACCCCATCTAGTCCGACCCCCTAGGAGGCCTCTAGCTTGTAGTCCCCGGTTGTGTTTTCCAGTTCCGGCTCCCGGGGCCCGAAACCCGGCAGCGCCCTGTGATAAATATTTGCAACGCCCGGATTTCAGGCGCCTTAGCCAGCCGACGTGGCGGCGCGGGGGCTCGGGCGTTGCGCAACGGGGGACGATCGATGGGGGGGCGAAAAAAGGTGCTGGGGCTCAAAAGGGGCACGAAGGATGCACCTTTCTTCGCCTCCCCCCAGTGGTCTCGGCGACTGCAAAGGGTACGATCACGCTGGGGCATCGCCGACGTCGACGAAGCATCGCCGGTGCATCACCGACGTCGCCGATTCATCGCCAACGTCGACGATGCGTCGCCGGTGCATCACTGATGCATCGCCGATGCATCGCCCATGCATCGGCGATGCGGCGCGATCCTCCGACCCCATTTTTACTCCGACCCCATCTAGGAGGCCTCTATAGCTTTGCGATCGGCACCGTTGGGGCCTGGGGAGCACGACACTGCCCTCGTTGGGCCTCATCGGGGCACGGCGGAGAGCTTTGTCCAGGCCCTCGCCCGACCCCCCTGGGTGCCAGCTACAAGCCACGCCCGCATTGCAGACCATACACTTGGGAGTCGCCGAGGACCGCCCCCCATGATTTACAGTCGGGGCGTTGACCTAAGGAACCCTAAATAAGGAACGAGGCCCCTTTTTTCCAGTCAGTGAAACTTGTAATCTCCCATCGAAAACCTAGGACCACCGAAGGCAGCGTGCAAAACAACTAAGGAACACTGAGCCCCTCCCAAACGAGAAGGGTTCCTTCTTCAGCGCCCCGACTGTACAGTCAACCAACCATGATGCGAAAGGATGGGGCAACTTGGCCAGGGCACCCTTGCATCCTTGCCCCTCCGGCGCGTCCTCGCCAACTTTCGCTCTCGCGCTCCGCGCGGAAAACCTCAACATGGCGCCCCCAGGCCCTCGCGTCCTCACCGCGCCTCCTTCCTGCCCTGGCTGACGGCATCCCCAACGCCCCGGGCAGCCGGCCGACGGGGCGGCGCCAGAGGGGGCCCGGCGGGCCCGGCGGGCGGGGCCGGCGGAGGCGGCCGCTCGGCGCCCAGCCCTCGCAGTCGATTAGACGTAAGAGTGACCTTTCGCCGGAGTGACCTTTAGTGCGGGCACTGATGGGCCCCCAGATGGCCGAGCGCGAAGCGGTAGCAGCGGCTAGCGCGCCTAGATTTGGCCTCCCCGCGGCCCCCCAAAAGCCGCGCACCACAGGTCACTCTTACCCAGGGTCACTCTTACGTGCAGCCGACGCAGGTGAGGCACATGGAGCCCACGTGCGGCAGCACCTGGCGGGTGCGGAACGCCGACGGCGCCGCCACGACGCTGCTGCGCAGGCAGCCGCTGGAGGCGCCCGGGCCTCGGAGCCAGCCGGGGAGCAGGAGCAGCGATAACTTTTTTTCTTGGGGGGGGGGCTGACCTGGGTATAGTAAAACGACGCGAGGATCGGGACAAAATCGGATCGGGATGACTCGAAATCTATGAGAATCGGCGGGTTTGGAGGATGTATTGGGCGCCGCGGCCGCTCCAGAGCGTTCCGGAACGCTCTGAGAGCGCTCCAGAACGCTCTGGAGCGATTTATCCCGATCCTAGCCCTGTTTTATATAGGGGTGGGAGCAGCGACCCCAAAGCGCCCGTCGATCGCCGACAGGGGCCCGACAGCCCCAACTTGCCCAGGAAGGTGCGTCGCCGATCGATCTGCGATGTGTCGCCCGTTCCAGGTCGATGTTTCCCCACCCGAGGCCTATCACCCCCTATCGTTACCCCTCAGCCTTGGAGCCAGCCGGGAGCGGTGGCCCAGCCCTGTTTCCAGCGAGCAGAAAGGGGGGCGGGCGAGGTTCTCGAGGTGCTCTGTAGGTTCGGGCGGGCTTTTTTTGCCTGTTTCGGCCTCCTGGGGGTTGTTTGCGGGCCCTGGGGCCGTGAGCAACGGATCGAGGGTGAAGTTATTTACGCCACACGAGGGGTCGGGGGACCGATTTTGAGCGGATTTGGTCTCATCCTTTTTTCTGACTGATTTTCTGTGACCCAGCTCAGACCCCCTGGCCGCCTCTGGCCAGGGCCCATTTCAATCCGATCGATCCGATCGATTCGATATCGGTTCCAGCCGTTCCGATCCGATTTGGCTTCGATTTCCTGGCGATCCGATGCGGCCCGATGCTTACCTGGCATTGTTGCGCAGCCGATCCGCTTCGACCTTGATTCCATGTTGATGCGGCCCGATCCGACGCACATTCAGACTCAATCCGATATCCCGATTCGATGTTGACTGATCTTCTTGGGAGGCGCACGACGCGGGCAACGCCGTGGGCTACGCCTCCGAGGTTAGGGGACAAGGTACCGATACTCCTACCCACTCTTCGTCGCGACGGCTGGATTCGCCTTGACATTCTCATCAGAAAGCTCCCCAGGAGAGGGTCTGGGAGCAGTGGAGTATCGGTATCTTGCTGTGCCCCCACGAGGGCGAGCTGTTGGAGTCGGAGTTCCTTTTCGTCTGCCGCGTGAACGAGAAGAAGGGGGGCTTCGTCAGGCGAGCCCTCAGATCTGTGCGTTTTACAAACGAAAAGTCGCGACGGCCACATGTAGCAGGTCAGTAGGGCCAGTTTCTGCCATGGTTGTCGCATATGTCCGTCAGTGGCAGTGCTCTCGGCAGGCATGCTTCACGGTGGGGCTTTGGCATGGTGGTGTCCGCTCCTCCGCCGCCCTCACCAGCAGAGTCGCGACGGCCAGCGTTTGGAGCGTGTTCGGCACCTTCGGGGGCCGCCTCCTGGCCCGAGGAGTACAGTCGGGGCCCTAAAGAAGGAACCCTCTTCGTTGGGGAGGGGCTCCGCGTTCCTTAAGTGTTCCGCAGCTTGCCTCAGGTCTTTTTCTTAGGCTTTCGATATAGGAAATCGAAGGTTCACTTGTGGAAAAACAAGGGGCCTCGTTCCTTCTTTAGGGTTCCTTAGGTCAACGCCCCGACTGTAGCTCAGGAGACGGAGCAAGCCTTGCCTTGGCATCGCTCGGACGTGCTCATTTTTTCTCGGCGAGAACCATCGAGGACCATCCTGGACCATCGAGCAAAAAAAACACGCACGAAATCGAACAATGCACGGGAAATGGGCGTCCGAGCGACGGCAAGTTGCGGGGTCGAGATCCCCAGGGGCTCACGTCGCGAGCAAGCTGCGGCGGCGGAGCGCCGTGCGACCACGCCCAGCTGTCCGAGGTCTCGACCGGCGCTGCACGGGCCCCGTCGAGGTCCCGACCCGCTCCTCGGGGCCGCCGTTTGGTCCCGAGCGGCTGTTTCCTCCTCGCCTCCCGCCCCGTCCCTCCGTCGCCTCCTCCTCCTCCTCCTCCTCCTCCTCCTCCTCCTCCGCCTCCTCCGCCTCCTCCTCCTCCTCCTCTCCTCCTCCTCCTCCTCCTCCTCCTCCTCCTCCTCCGCCTCCTGCTCCTCCTCCTCCTCCTCCTCCTCCTCCTCCTCCTCCCCCCCGCAGCTTCCGCACGCCGTCGCCTCCGTCGCCTTCTCCCCCCCTGCTCCCCGCTTGCGGGCTCCGTCCCTCCCCGCCTGCCCGCCCGCCTGTCCTGTCCCGCCGGCCCTGGCTTCCCGCCTGCGCGTTCGCCGTCGTCTGCTTGCGTCTCGGTGACCCTTCTCAATCTCCGTCGCCGCGCGGCCCAGACTGCTGGGGGCCAGCGCAGCCGTGGATGCCGGGGCGCATCCGACCAGTGTCCAGCTGCCCAGTTCAGAAGCGACAGGGCGAGGAGTCCTCTTTTTGGGAGGCTGGGAAAAATGGGCACCAACACCAAAGCAGACGGGTGCGTCAACCCTGGGGGCGGGGATGATGTTGGATTGTGGTATTGGTGGAAATCTCTCGGCCACCCAGGAAGCCCGAATACTGCCACCATCACCGAGATCGGGATCATCATCCCTCGGCGGAGGCACACCAGCGATCTTGGTGTTTGTGCCGACCTCTGGGCCTCCGAGTTGTGACTGTCCTTCGGCACGGCGATGGGGCCCTGGAGGCCGCAAGCGGCGCTAAAGCCCCCCGCGGCGGCTTCCCCACGATGTTGGACCACTAGGAGGGCGGCGGGTTGCGGCGAGCAGCCGCGCGCCCTAAGCTCAGATGAGCAAGAGGTCATGAGAAGCACACGTCCCCGAGATGTCCTGATTTTCGGCGGCGAGCCCGTGTGGGAAAGTGGGAAGGGGCGGGCCTGCTCAGAAGGCTCGGAAGGCCCCAGGCCTTTGAGAAGTTTCTAATCAAGCCCTCCCCGAAGACACAGGAAGCTTCTCAGCAGGCGCGAGGGCTTCTGAGAAGTCCCGCGGCCTTCTGAAACAAGGCCTTCCCCTTCTCACTTCCCCCTCTCGCTCGCCGCCGAGATTTGTCACCTGGGCTGCAGGCAGGAGGGCCGTTGGACCCTTGCTGGAAATCCTGAGAAGCATCCTGCGCCAGTCCTACCATGGCTAGACCCAAAGCCTAAACGGTGTTTTGGCGATTTCGTGGGCCGTTTCCGTTTTGACCTCGCTTTGCAGTAGAGGCGCATTGAAGACAACGAGGGAGAACGAAAACAGAACGAAAACGAATGACACCGCTTGGGTTCAGCCTTGAATCCTACCACGGCATCCTTTCCGCCCCGGAGGCCGCCACGCGGCAGGCCGCGCGAGGGCACGGCTGGCCCCTCGCCCCAACGACGGCTTGCGAACGCCGCGCAGGCCTGCGCGAGCCGCCGCGAGCCCAGGCACCGGGGGCGCGGTGTTGTTCGCCCGTCGTGTGGCCAGTGCCTCCTAGCCCATGGGGTTGCTGGAGGTACTCTTTCGGTCAGTGAGGTCTCCCTCACTGCCAGCAGTGGTTTCCCAACCGCCGCCGTTGTGCCTTTTTTCAGCCAGGCTGTGCGGGCGCTGAGCTCAAAAAACGAGAAGTACCCCTGGCCCAAGGCACCCCCCAGGAATCTCAGGGTGGCCCAGACGGCCTCCAGGGCACCCCTCGCGAGGCCCAGAGGGCCCCAGGGGCTCCAGAATGGGGCGAGAAGCTGGGGGCACCTTCCGGGCCAGGGGCACTGCCAGCAGCACCCGACAGACACAGCGGGGGGGGCGAGGTTCGAGGTGCTCGGGCCTCTTCGCGGGTTCTCGCCGGCGGTCCAGCTGCAGGATGCCTGCCGGCAGCTGCGCCCCGCCGGGAGGATCCCCGGGTGCCCACGATCGTCCCCAGCGGCCGCCGGAGAGCCGAGCTATGGCACGAAAGTCGGGGGGCAGCGGTCGAGGGGGGAGAGGCTCAGGGACGCATGCGTCGACCCACAATCTCGGGGGTGGACAGACCTCCTACCCTGACACGTCGATTAGCGAATTGGTCGTTTTCGGTTCGCGAGGCGTCGCGGCCGTCATTTTTGCGGGTCCAGGTCCGTCGGTTTCGGTCCCAGGCCGTTTTCACTAAGGGGAGGTCTATTGAAGGGAGGTTTGTCCACTGCCGACAATCGCCCATGGATCGCCGATAGGGGCCCGACAGCCCCACCCCGCCCAGGACCATGCGGTTCGCGCCATCGGGGGCACATCGCCGACATGTCGCAGGCATCTCGCCGATTCCAGGTCGATGTTTCCCCTGAGCCGGTTGCCCACCAAATTTGCCCTTCAGGCTTGCGGAAGCCGCCGCGAACCCAGACCACTTTTGCGTCGTGACAGGAAATCAGAACGGCATGTCTTCTATCTTGTTCGACCTCAGGGAGCACTCGCCGGGCCTAGGGATCGTCAAACCATGAATCAGGAGGCGAAACCGACCCTGGGGAAGGGGTCCCGACCCATGGGGGACCAGGTGAAAACCTGACGACGTCGGGGGACTGGGTATGGGATCGTAGTGCCCTCGCACGTGAGCCACCATTCCCCAGGATTGCTTTCTGCGCCCATGTTCGCGTCTGGGCACATTCCCACGACGTCTGGCGCCTCGCAAAGAACGAAGCGGCCGGTGTGTCTCCATGTTTTGCCTCTGGGGGCCGTCGCCCAGCTTCGGCGAGCCTCCCACGCCCCGGGCAGATCAGGGCGGATACCCACCCCCGCTGCCTCCTGCCACCCTTTGGGGCCGCGCCCGGCGCCCCCCCCCCCTCCCCCGTGATCGGGGCCTTGAGACGGGGGTCAATGCAAACGGGGGTCAGCCAGGGCACCAGATCCTGCAGGATCCTGCGAAGACCCCTGGCTGCCCCGGGTCAGCGAGCCGCTCGTGGCCGCGAGGTGGCCCTTCTATTGGCCGACCCGGGTTTGCGAAGACCTGCGTTGCAGTTTTTTTGTTCCTGCATTGCAGTTCTTTGGTTTCCTGCTGACCCGGGTCTGGAGTGACCCGGGTCAGATCCCCGACGTGAGCGTCAGACAATGGGATACGCAGGGCGGAGGACCGGCCCCACGGAGAGTGCGAGTGGACGAGCGCGCTCCACGATGCGCAGAGCAATTCAGGAGGTAACTCCTGGGAAGTCTTCGTTGGAACGATGAAGGGCGATTAAGTCCGATTAGGGGGCCACTTCGCCAGATTTGGCCAACTTCCCAGGATTGAGCCCGATTGAGCCCGATTAGGCGGGACAAAACTGGATGAAGCCAGATCGACCCAGATTCAACGCGAAAATGCCAGCGCCGATGCAGAATTTTCACCTTCCAGGAGTTGCATCCCCAAGCAACTGCTCGCAAGTGGCCCGGATCCGCCGCGAGGGGCTTACGATTCGCTACAGCGATCTGGCGCTTCGCTGTTTGCTGGTGCGCAGGGCCCCGCACCTCTCGACCCCCCTCCCCAGGGGCCAGCTTTTCACCCCGAGCCCTCTCTTCTCACGACCCGGGAGGCCCCACGCCGGCCTCCGTGGAGGCCCGACGCTGACGACAGACTGGCCCCCCTCCCGGGCTCGCCGCCGAGAGAGAGAGAGAGAGGCGGCTCTTGCTTGGCATCGCTCGGACGTGTGCATTTTTTTCTCGGCGAGGACCTTCGAGGAGCATCCTCGACCATCTGGCGAAAAACACACGCACGAAACACGAAAAAAGCAGAGGGAATGGACGTCCGAGCGATGGCCAGCTTGGCCTCGTCCGCACAGGGCCACCGTCCGAAGCCTGCGTGCGGCGCGCCTGGCCCGCGCGTTCGCCCGGTGCAGGGCGATGCGGGCAAGATCGGCGGGGGTGGTAGGGGGAGGAGGAGGGGGGAGGCGGGGGCAAAAGGGGAGAGGGGCAGGGGGGGGGGGAGGGAGGGAGGAGGACGAGGAGGAACAGGCGGATGAGGACGAGGAGGAGGAGGGCGAGCAGAAAGGCCAGAGGCCTTTGTGATGTCTCTTCGGATGTCTCCTGAGAGCTTCGTGGTGTCCTCTTGGCGCGTCTCGGGGGCCCTTGCTGGTCTCGAGGGCCTCTTGGAGAATCTCTTGGGTGCTTCGGGAGAGCCTCTTGGGATCTCATGGGGGTCTCTTGGGGACCTCGTGGGGACCTCTTGGAGGCCTCTTGGTCCTTCCTGGGCGCTTCTCGTTATCCTCGTGGGGCACTCTTGGGGACCCAGGGGGCCATATTGGGGCCATCTTGAAGGGGGGGGTGAAGCAGCCCCC